GCTTGAAGATGCAGTGGACGCCGGAGCATGCCCAGTGGCCAGAACAGCACTTTGACATCACCTCGACCACTCGGTCTCCTGCCCACAAAGTTGAAGCCTACCGTGGTCATCTGCAGCGCACATATCAGTATGCCTGGGCCAATGATGACATATCTGCTTTGACTGCCTCCAATCTGTTAAAAAAGTATGCAGAAAAGTATTCTGGAATTCTTGAAGGCCCAGCTGAGCGACCTGTCCTCAGCAGCTACACGGATGCACCTTCGGGGTTGGTGAATGGTCGGAAGAATGAAAGTGAACCTTGGCAGCCTTCATTGAACTCAGAAAGCGTGTATCCCATGAACTGTGTTCCAGATGTCATCACCGCCAGCAAAGCTGGTGTAAGTACAGCTCTCCCTCCTGCAGATGTCTCTGCCAGTATAGGGAGTTCTCCCGGGGTGGCCAGCAACCTGACAGAACCTAGTTACTCTAGCAGTACTTGTGGAAGTCACACGGTACCTAGTCTCCATTCAGGGCTACCATCTCAGGAATATGCCACAGGATACAATGGATCATATTTGCATTCGACATACAGCAGCCAGCCAGCACCTGCACTTCCTTCCCCTCATCCATCCCCTTTGCATAGCTCTGGCCTCTTACAGCCACCGCCACCTCCTCCTCCACCGCCAGCCCTGGTCCCAGGCTACAATGGGACCTCTAACCTCTCCAGTTATAGCTACCCCTCTGCTAGCTATCCTCCTCAAACCTCTGTGGGACCTGGGTACAGCCCAGGTGGTGCACCTCCTCCTTCAGCATACCTGCCTTCAGGAATTCCTGCTCCTACTCCTCTGCCCCCTACTACTGTACCTGGCTACACCTACCAGAGTCATGGATTGACACCCATCGCCCCCTCGGCTCTGACAAACAGTTCAGCAAGTTCTCTCAAACGGAAAGCCTTCTATATGGCAGGGCAAGGAGAAATGGACTCCAGTTATGGAAATTACAGCTATGGCCAACAGAGATCTACACAGAGTCCTATGTACAGAATGCCCGACAACAGCATTTCAAACACAAACAGGGGGAATGGCTTTGACAGAAGTGCTGAAACATCATCCTTAGCATTTAAGCCAACAAAGCAGCTAATGTCCTCTGAACAGCAAAGGAAATTCAGCAGCCAGTCCAGCAGGGCTTTGACACCCCCTTCATACAGTACTGCTAAAAACTCCTTGGGATCCAGAACCAGTGAATCCTTTGGGAAGTACACATCCCCAGTAATGAATGAGCATGGGGACGAGCACAGGCAGCTCCTCCCTCACCCGATGCAAGGCCCGGGACTCCGTGCAGCTACCTCATCCAACCACTCTGTGGACGAGCAACTGAAGAATACTGACACACACCTCATTGACCTTGTAACCAATGAGATTATCAACCAAGGACCTCCAGTGGACTGGAATGACATCGCTGGCCTCGACCTGGTAAAGGCTGTCATTAAAGAGGAGGTTTTATGGCCCGTGTTGAGGTCAGATGCTTTCAATGGACTGACTGCCCTACCTCGGAGCATCCTTTTATTTGGGCCTCGGGGAACAGGCAAAACATTATTAGGTAGATGCATAGCTAGTCAGCTGGGGGCTACGTTTTTCAAAATTGCTGGTTCCAGTCTAGTCACCAAGTGGTTAGGGGAAGGAGAGAAAATTGTCCATGCCTCCTTCCTCGTGGCCAGGTGTCGCCAGCCCTCGGTGATTTTTGTTAGTGACATTGACATGCTTCTCTCTTCTCAAGTGAGTGAAGAGCACAGTCCGGTCAATAGGATGAGAACCGAGTTCCTTATGCAGCTGGACACTGTACTAACTTCTGCTGAGGACCAAATAGTAGTAATTTGTGCCACCAGTAAACCAGAAGAAATAGATGAATCCCTTCGGAGGTACTTCATAAAACGACTTTTAATCCCACTTCCTGACAGCACAGGGAGGCACCAGATAATAGGACAACTGCTCTCACAGCACAATTACTGTCTCAATGACAAGGAGTTTGCACTGCTTGTCCAGCGCACAGAAGGCTTCTCTGGACTAGATGTGGCTCATTTGTGTCAGGAAGCAGCAGTGGGCCCACTCCATGCCATGCCAGCGACAGACCTTTCAGCCATTATGCCCAGCCAATTGAGGCCAGTTACATATCAAGACTTTGAAAATGCTTTCTGCAAGATTCAGCCTAGCATATCTCAAAAAGAGCTTGATACATATGTTGAATGGAACAAAATGTTCGGTTGCAGTCAGTGATAATTTTTCTTTTTCTTTTTCTTTCTTTTTTTTTTTAAATGTAATGAATGTTGGCACACACACACACAAAACCTACTACATAGGGTAGAGAACCCCTTTCCAGTAGTGTTCAAATTGCAAAGGTACCGGGGGAGATGACAATTATGTTGCATCTTTAGAGTCAGGGTAGACTTGGAGGAAAAGTGCATCAAACGAGAGCTGCTGATCTGAAAAGCCCCAGGTAACAGGAAGCGTGTGTTGATGCTCAGTTCTGTTCAAGCCAGACACCACTCACCAAGGAGCAAGGTGCAAGTGGGTTGATTTCAGAAGGACGTGAACCCTGTGTGTTGATTCCATTCTGCTGTTCTCGAGATTTAGTTGCTGTCAAGTGCCTGGAGTGGTGCTTTTTTTTTTGTTTGCCTCACAATTACATTGGTGGCATGTGCTAATATAAAGAGCTTTAACTTCAAAAATTATTGGACTAAAGAGATGAACGGTTGTGTTGCGACAGAGAACCAGATTTTTGCCATTCTAAGAGCAACAGTATTCCTCAATCCTGTCTGTTCTGCGGTATTAAGCTAAGAACAGGTAAAACAGGGTAACGGTAATCTGGACCTTAATTTCTGCAGTTCATTTCTTTTAATGTTCTGTCTGCAAAAACTCAGGAAAGTGATTGTGATTTGTACAGTACCTCAAAGGAATGTGTTGAAAGCACTATGTACTGCTGAGAGTTATAGGCTAGGCTTCAATGTTACTTTATATTAAATATGTATGTTTACCTCAACAATTGGAAAATGGAAAGGAAAATTATTTTGAATGTATCCAGGAAAATACTGAAGTGTGATATGACTGAATCTTTGCAGTTTAAAGTAGAAAATAGAAGGGTTTCTTCAAAAAAAAAATTGGTTCTTTTACCAATCTGGGAATCAAACCAGAGCAGAATAATTCTCTTTATGTCAGTAAACTATAAGAGTTCTTAGTACATTGCTCCTTGATAATTAAGTGATATGGTTCTTAAAAGATAACACTGGTGAAGGAAAGCCACTTACTCCGTTTATGTTAGCATCTGGAAACAATCAACCACAAGATCTGTTAGGACTTTAAAAGGCATATTACCTAAAAACTATGACTGCCTTTTACTGCATAAGTGATGGTTGTGGTAGTTTTGAAGTTATTTGTTAAAACTGTTGGGAATGGCGACATTCTAGCTCATGGATATAGCTTATGGGGTTGCAGTGCTGCTTATAGAATGCAGTCAATAGTGGCCAAAAACAGAAACACCTCCCCATCAACACCCCACAAAAAAATGCAGACAAAATGACCCCATACAAACCCTCAAAGTTATGGGGATCTATCCCACACACATACTTTGGCTCCATTTTCGGTCAATATATTTTCATTATGCTTTTGAAATCTCTCCTGGGCTGGAGTGTTCCCGCCATTATTTCTACCTCAGTTTTGTTACATTTCTCTTTGAAGATAAGTAGAAAATTATACCTGGACATGTGCACATGTGCAAATACACATATAGTTTGCCAAACGAATTAATTTCTATTTCCTGCTGCGCTTCTTTCCCCATAAGCCAAGTTTCCGGAAAGATCCATTTGCGCTTCTCAGCCTATCTCAATCACACTCTCCGTGGAGTCTTTCCTCATGGAAAGACCAGTTGGCACATGTGGCATTTTGCTCCGTTCCCTACTCCTTCCCTCTCGCCCACAATGGCATTCTCTTTATCCTTTAATAGTTTATGTGCAGCAGCAGCTGCTGATTGACTGCTGACTGATGCTGGGCAATGCCTCTGAACAGGAGCAGTGTAGGCTCTAACTTTTCCAAACCCACTGCCACTACATGAGCAGAAAAGCTTGGCTTTTTGAATGTAATTTGGGGGGTTGTTTTAAAGAGACAGTAACAAAACTGTTGCAAAGCACTGGCATTTGATGTTTTTATTAAGTAATGTACCTTCAAAAATAAATAAATAAATAAATGCACTAAAAATCCCCAAGAAGATAAATATCTGTTACTAGATTTTTTTTTTGTCATTTCAAAATTTATGTAAAGATCTCATTTGGAGTGTTAAATTCTCTGAAACATTTAACATTTAGAAAGCTAATGAGGGATTTCATGAGATTTCTGGAATTTTATGATGCTTGATCATTGCTTTCCTTTTTCTTTTCTCATATTACTAAAAATAGAGCAAATGAACCAAAATTTAATTTACTATGACATTTTGTCAATTAAAACTGTGTTTAGACATGAAAATTCCATATTGAAAACAGTGCCTTTCATTAAGGGTAGAGAAAATACCATTTAAATAGATCATCTGCTTTTCTGCAAGTGACTCAACTACACAATCGTGTTCTGGCTCCACACTGCGCTTCCCTCATAGGAGGGAAATTCCAACATCCCCATTAGCTTGTAGGTTCATATTGATCTCACTGACAAGTTTACTATTGCAGAGTGCTGACCTATTTTCTGTCTTTTAGACATTGAGTTTCATTTCTGTCATCACGCTGTGCTCACTTGAAAGGTTCTGCCAAGTTTTGACAAACCTCCTCTGATTTAAACCACTTTGGAAAAATCTGTAATACTGACCCTTTTTGTGACTAGTAAGAGTTAATGCCAAATATGGGACTGAACTATGGTATTTTCTGCTTTTGTTCAAAAACTGAAATGAAGTTATGAGCAGGCATTTGGGCATCTAGCTTTGAATTTCTCCCTTAGAAATCTGAATCTGAGATCTTATTGGTCAAAATCTATCTCTTTCAGCAAAAGCTGAAATAATTTGTAAGTTCCAGCTAGCCTCAGAATTCCAGAGTTTGAATTCTTAGGAAATTCTAGATGCTGTAGAAATTACTATCTTGGGGAAGGGGGTGTGTATGTGAAACAGCTGACCTGTGAGCTGTCTTCTAAAATTCTCATTCTTGTTGCTATCCATAGATGGACTTCAGAGTTTTCTGCCCATCCCTTCTGGAAGTAGGTATAGGACCTCTGCAGAAGTGATTAGCAACAATCAGAGGTAGTCAAATCACAATATTCAGACTGCACAGAGCTGGGTTCCTTTTTGGCTGCTACAGACTTGAAGAAGGCCACTAATGAATGTAAGGTAATGAGCCAGTCCATGTAACAACTCTGCCTATGCTGAATGACCAAGTGATTGAGCCAGTCTGATTATCTGATTAATAACCCCTAATAATGCTCTTCTTCACAAATACAGTAACAATTCCAACAATCACACTCACTCTCTCTCTCTCACACACACACACACACACACACACACACACACACACACATACAGACAAAACCAAAAAAGGAAGTGGAAGATCGTTGGTTCAGAAGATCACGAAAGAACAATAAAGATTCAAGAGGTAGTTGATAATGACCTTATATGTGACATAGATGAAAACACTCCACACTTTTAGCATACTTCTCTCCAAAATATTTAGAACCTTAGTGACAATATTGAAAACTTTGCTGACTGAGCTGATCAATGGGATGTGAAGGCAGTTTACTTTAAGGCTATTTACTTTCACACAGAATGTTTATCTATTAGTCAGTTTGTATTCCACTCAAATGCAGATAGACGGGTATAATGTTTTCTTGTGCGTTTCAAACCCATCAAGGAGAAAATAAACCATTCTGCTAAAATACATAGGCCAAACACCATCTGGGCAAGTGATAGCAGCTATCCAGAGGCTATGCTATGTGAAACAGTATAAGGTCATTTTACATGGGTTTGCATAGTACTTGGCTATGCAGTTCTCAAAATAAGATCATCCATTCTGAAAAACCAAATTAATTCTTGTGATAGGTTTTTGTAAATTTATATATATACATATATATGTATATTATATATATGTATGTATGTATGTATGTATATATGTTTTTAGGGGGAAGCATTTAGCAATTCCATTCTTTGAAAACATACAACTTTACACAAAAAGGATTCTCTAATTACGTTTCCATGTGTTTCCTCTGAGCCAGAATTGAGGTGTCATGATCACTGAATCTATATTCTGCAAAATGAAAGGGAACACAGTTTATTGAGCTGTTGAGGTCACCAAAATAAAGTTCTAATATATAATCAATCTGTGTGTATGTTTGCGTGAGTATGTGTGCCAGTCTGCACCACCACCACTTTGAATTTGAAAACCTACATTTTACATTATTCACAAGCACCAGGTATACTCTTTCATTGTTTGTGTGTGTATGCACATGTGTGTGTGTGTATATATAATGTATTCTAGCTACACATAAACACACTTCACAAGTCAAAGTATTTTAATACATATTTTTTTCTTTTGAAATGTAAACGCTTTCCATTGTTGAATCACCTGCAGATTTTTATATGAAGCACATTAGCAAACATGGAGCTATTAGTATTTCAGAATTCAAAACCAGCTGTACTTGTGACTAACCAACACATGAACTGAAGCTCACACTCTGCTAAGACCTTTGGTTGACATTCGATTTTGAACCTGCCAGATGCATTTGTGTGAACCAGGGATACTGCATCTTTAATGAACAAGTCTCTCCTCTTTCCCCTGTTTTTAAATACAACACAAGCAGTGTAGCACTAGGCACTGCAATTGTCAAAGACAATTAGACTGAAAGCAGGAAAATTTCACCTCCCTGTCTCAGTGATATGTAGAATGTCGGCAGCATGGGTCAGCCTTGCCACAGAGTTGTGGGAGAATATATGAATCAGTCCTATAGAATGTTAAATATTTATAAAATGGTTCTGTAGTACACCAAGGTTGGGAGCACATTCATACCTTCTTGTTGTCTTATGATATAAAAAGCAAAAGTTTATTTCCAGACTTAAAACTTTGTGTGTGTGTGTGTGTGTGTGTGTCTGTGTGTGTCTGTGCACACACATAGGTGCGTGCACATAAGTATGTGTGCCTGTGTGTAATTTTTTCTTGTGATTTATATACAGTTGCTAGGGAATTTTTGCATTTCTTTTTTTTTCTTTTATTTTTTCCTCATTGGATGTATATTCAAACATTGTTCTTTATAACCAT